GCGCTGTGTGTGCTAGGCCTCGCATAGCATAGGCAATGCTAGGCAGCGCATACCATTGCCAACACAAGCCATGCGGCAGCAGCATCACGCATTGCGTGCGTGGCTTGCTGGCTGCGCACTGGCACATGCTGGCTGGCTTGCTACACAGCCATGGTGCTAGGGGCCAGCAAGGCTGCCTAGGCCACCATGGCTGGCAGGCTGCCAGCTGTCCCAGCCAGCTCACCATGGCCCCTAGTGGACCGGTCATGGTGGTTGGGACATGGGGGGACATTTGCAAATGGTCCTCCCCCCCCTTTGGTTGGTTGGTTAGGAGGGAAAAGTGAGTTGGTCCCCCCCTTGGGGTGGTCCTCATTTTCCCCCTTTCACCTGCCAAGTGTTGCCTTGTGTAATTATGTAATTTAAGTATATTTACAAACTATATTGTTGAATTAGGTACATTTAAGTATATACTACATTGTTGATTAATTAGGTAAATAAGTACATTGTTGAACACTACTTTGTGTATACACTTAGCTTGAGGGTTTAATGAAATTATTGTGGTTTTAGTTGTGTTGTGTATTTGTGTCATCAAGTATGCGTTCCGATTCTTATGTAGAACATGTCACAATTGATTGTTTTGTTATGCCGGTGGGGGGGGGGTGAAATTCTGTGTGTCGGATCGAACGTCGAGTATAGAGGAGGAAAAATGGAACCCTTGGCATTGAAACCTTGTATGACTTACAATGATTTGTTGAACAAGGTTTATACTATAACTAGTTCCAACCCAATGAATGTTGAACTGAACATTAAAATGAGGTTTGAGAGTGTTAGTGGGGTTCAAATCTTACCTGTTTTGAATGATGACCATTTGGAGGTTTTGAGGGGTGTCGTTGCAATGAGGTATCTTCCCACTGATTAATATGTGGAAATGGTGCCTATATGTACTCAACAGACTATTCGATTGACAGAACAACAACCTACATATCTTCCCTCATACCATACAAGCTTGTTACAAATTCCCTCATACAACATTCCGTCATCTTGGTATATACCAAGTAAAAACACACCGGGGAGAGAGGATAGGCAGAAAAGGAAACCATAAGCATCCCATCAATTTCAATTTGAGAACATGTACAAACAACAAACCTATGATATTTCACCTACCGTGCTCTCATGTTCTAGCCGTATGTCTTAAGTATTCAGTTTCTGAGGAACCATGGGTGGACAGTTTCCTACGATCGGAGGCGTATGCGAATACTTATGTCCCAAAGTTCAGGCCTATTCCTTGTGAAATGACGTGGAGGACATACAAAGGGCCTAAAATCATTCCTGATGAGAGCATGGTCCGAGGACTTGGTCAGCCAAAGTCACCGCAACGAAATGAAATGGATGAGACTAATCGTCCACCAATCAAATGCGGCCGTTGTCAGGACACAATAAGAGAACTTGTCGGTTACGAATGGGCGGTAACGGGTATATGTCTTAGTTTAATAACATGTTGTGTGTATGTTTTCACTTATGATGTTGTTGATTTCTTGTTTTACATTGCGCAATGAACAGAGATCATGGAGGGACACGATCAAGGACCGGGACCAGCTAACCCTTCTATCTTGACACTTCAGGATAGCCATCGAAGCCGTGGCATATGGGAGCAATCAATAAGTTTTCATCTACCAAATCTTTATGTTTTTGGCATCTTTTATGTTAATTTATCTAACTATATAATTTTTTTGTTCTACAGGTTGATCCAGCACGGTGCTTGCTTTGTAGGCACCATGTTGGGAGGGTGGTGGAAGACTGGGTTGTCGGCCCGCGTGTAATACGTTACATCGATATCGTGGGTTTTGGCGGATTTCATAGGATGACATTCACACCTATAGATCGAGCGCTAATTACTGCGCTCGTTGAGAAATGGAGACAGGAGACTCACTCTTTCCATCTACCAGTTGGGGAGGTCACCGTCACGCTCTCGGATGTGGCGATATCGACACGACTCCCAATATGTGGTAGGGTAGTGACAAGGCCCATTATAAAGGACCCTCGTGGCCTTGTTGAGAGGGTGTTAGGGGTGAGGCCTGAGGTCGCCGATATTAGAGGCACAGGGCTAAGACACATATGGTTACGAGAGACATTTGGGGTGTTGCCTCCTGATGCTGATGATGGAGTCGTTCAGAGATACGCTCGAGCGTACCTGTTCATGTTGATAGGATCGTTATTTAGTAACAAGAGTGGTAGTCACATACAGTTGATCTACCTACAGCTGTTAGAGAATAGCTGGGAGCGGATACGTGACTATAGCTGGGTTAGTGCGTGTCTGGCGACCTTGTATCGCCATCTAAGAAGAGCACCCCAGCAAGGTAGATGGGATATTGGTGGTCCCTTGATTATGCTTCAAGTAGTCCCTTTAATTTTGTACCTTTTTTTTTTAACTATTACGTACTTAACGGTGACTAAACTTAACTTGTGTTTTTTTATTACAATTATGGGCTTGGGAGCACATCCATGTTGGTAGGCCAGCTAGGGCTGCTAACTATCGACAACAGGGTGACCATGAGGAGGAAGACGATCGGGAGCATGCATATGAGGCTCCGCCACTCCCTTCACCAGACCAGGCATATGGTTGCAGGTATGTATGGCTTACTGTTAAGTTATCCACATAACTCTTTATTTTGCTAATAATTTTTCATGAACACTATTATTATTATATATAATTAGGTGGTTGGTGCGTAGACTTACTCGTGTGCATGCAGCGAGGAGTCTACCGTATTACAGAAACGCATTCGATAGACTGAGCGAGTCTCAAGTGATCAATTACACTATAAAAACTAATTTAACACCCCGTTCATTGTTTTGATAAGTTAATTATGATGTTACTGACGGCGTGTTAATGCAGATGACGTGGGATCTGTACGTCGCTGACTTAGTCGATGCCATGCCCCCATATCTTCGTGATCATCAGATGGAGTGGTGTGCCATGACAGTCCTTATCTGTTTTGAGGTAGTGGAGGTTTACCTCCTCGACAGATTCATGCGACAGTTTGGCCTTAGTCAGGCCGTCTCCGCCACGTCTAATACGGGTGTCCACTTGCACAGGACATACCGACGAGGAAAGGGCAAGGGGACGTGAGTTGGGAAGTTCAGTATGCCACCTTCATTGACATGTGGGATGAGTGATTGTAGCACGTCGTGGATGGTGCGCCTTTCCAAGGCCGGATGGAGTATCACGATCCATACATGGTATGGTACAGGAGCATTACCAGCTTTTGTAGACATCAGTGGATATGTGAGTTTTAGATGGATTTTTTTTTTATCAATTTATAATTTCTGATATTATTAAATTGACTGATTGTTGACTTATGCAGGTGTTTGATATGCTGGCTATACATGATGCACTGGGAGTCTTGAGCATATCATATCCCACCATACTGCAGATAGATAAAATACAAGCGATGACTGTGACTAGCTTATAAAGACATGGTCATGGTCATCTTATCTAGAGGCGGGACCCAATCACAACAACAGTACGGTGGAGGCTCCCAACAGCATTCACACCGTGAGGTAGGCCAGAGTAGTAGAGGACAGACTCACACGTCCCCTACAACGTCCTAGCAGTTTGGTGAAATCCAAGAGGATTTCACCGTACCCATGTCTGCGCCATTATCACAGGAGGGACCGTCATCCAGCCAACAGACTCCTCCCCCAGATTCTTTCAGAACTTCTCCCCCAGATCCTTTCAGAATTGTAACTCAGTACATTTGTCATCGGAGACCGCGAGTTGTTAGAGAGCAATTACGTCGAATAGATGAATCAGGATCTTAGAATTGCTTTTGTTAGTTTGTTGTAATCAGATTCTCTAGTACGTTGTATACAAACAAATATTATTAATACAATTGGCTTTTTTTAACTGATTTTTTTTCCATTTATCAACTTTACTGCACGCATTCATGCTTTTTATGGAACTGGTGGATGAAGGTTGTTAAATTGTTGGTTGTAGGTGAACAAAGTGGTGGTTTGTGGTGGTTGGTGTTAGTTGGGAGTGGTTGAAGTGGTGGTTGGTAGTGGTGGAAGTGGTGGTTAGCAGTAGTTGAACTGGTGGTAGGAGTGGCAGCAGGCTGGCAAGAAGCCTGCAGGTTTCAGGAGCAGGCTGTTGCCTGTAGTATCTTGCAGGTTTTATGTTGAAGGTAAAAACGCCAATCTGGTTGGCGTTTTATGTTAGAAAAAACACCACCCAACATTTCAGTTAGGGGGTAAAACGCTACCATGGATGGCGTTTAGGGTTAAAACGCCATCCAGGGTAGCGTTTTACCCCCTACCTGAAATGTTTGAAAAAAAAATCTGCCAAGGGTAAAACGCTACCCTGGGTGGCGTTTTTCCTTCAAGCTTAGTTTGGTAAATACTTTTGCCACGCATCTAAAATGGAGTATATTTTCTAAATGGAGTTTAGTTTGGAAAATTTTCCTTATAAAAGTCAACCAAATTAAAACCAATACAAAACGTAGCAATTTGTCATATTGTTATTTTAAATTTTACTTAATATCTATACATTTTTACATATTATCAAAACGACAAGATTCCAAACAAATACGAAGTATGATATAATTCTAAATATTACTTACATTGAGTGGGGGTAATTTTATCCGCTAATATTTTTATTTATTTGATCACGACCTCCTTCGATTTTTTGTTGATGATGGTTAGCAATGGTGCTGATAACGTTTTATGAAAATAAGGGGAAAGAGAGAATATTAGAGAGAGATGTAGATGATAAATCCTTGTTATACTCTCATTTTATAAAACCATGCCATATACATACATATGAGCATAATGTAACCTTCATGGACAATTAAAATTCCATTTAAATGGAGGTTACAATGGCATATGGGAGTTACAATTGATGACATAATATTAAGGTCTTAAGGGAATTACAAGTCATAATGAATGTCTACAATAAATATATTTTGTAACAGTATTCAAATTTTCTTTTATATTTAAAAAAAAAAAGTTGTCTACATTGTCAAACTATCCAAATACAAGACGTTGTCTATTTGCCTATTTGGATAATTGGTCTTTCATTTGTCTTTTAGATTAAAAAAAAAAAAAGACAATAGTAAAACTTGTGCATACCCAGTCGTAACACCGGCGGCCGGCAAGCTCCACCTTCATTCCTCCGCAAAAAATCATCGCCCATCTTCTTCATTTCACCCCCTTTTTTCTGGGTTGACCATCACTTTCTTCTTCCCCCTCAATTTCTGCTTCAATTTATCTACCTCATATTATCAAATCCTAAAACTTTATCCTGTCAATTTCTTGACCCACCAATATTTCTAGTCAACTTTGCTAAAACTCTTAATTGAACTCCTCTAAAGTCCCAAACTTCACGAGATTTCAACTACACACAAAAATTAATTAAAACCCCTTCACAAAAATTCATTCTTTTTTCTAACCCATGTATGTTTCTTCAACTCCCTTTTGTTTTTTTTTTTTTTCTTTTTTATTAATTTTCTGGGTAGTCCATTTTCTGATGTAGATCGGATAGTCATGAGTTTTCTTTTTATGGATCCTTGTAATTACAAGTTGTTTTAGCATGATTTAGCAAGTAATTTTTTTTTGTTTTTTTTATTCTTTATTTTTATTTTTTTTGGGTGTGGCGGTTGACAATGAAAAATAAGGTTTTATGATCATGATTATTGTTAGGGGGTTCATCATTTCACTAATTTTTTGCTGTTTTTTTGGTTGTAGGGTTGAAATACATGTATATGATTTCCAATGATTATTCATGTATATGACTGCCAATGATGTTCGATTGTGGTTATGGTCAGAAGGATAAGTTTGTCAGGTAGCAATCATCTGTTATTTTATCTTTTGCTATTTACTGTATTGTGATGAATTTGTGGCTATTTAATTTTCATATTGCTAGACCTTACCCTTCTAAAAATAAAAATCATTGTGACCCTTTTTCTGGTGGGTTGGGCAAATGAACGAACCCAATACTTTGGCTGTGATAATTTAAGTATTAAAGAAAAAGAAAAAAAAGAAAAACAGACATGATACGTATATTTCCTATTTTATGATTCTTCTCTTTGAAATGTCTTAATTTGGCAGCAATGGTTTTAAATCTTTGAATTTGCCTGTATTGCATCTTGGATGGTTTTGTGTTTGTATGTTTATTTGATATAGGAGATTTGTCCTGAATGTTCCGGTTACTCCACTCCACATAGTTTTGAAGTATATGCATAATTGGTAATTATGTGACCCGGAGGCTGGGGATACGCGTGATGCTGTCATAATGTGGTCATAAGAGGTTTAGTAGTCAACATGTTATTATACTCTTAACTCATCACTGTTTCACCTATGTGTATCTCAGATAGCAAATTTAAAATGTTGAGCATCATGGAATGATCTTGATCTATTTGATTGAGGAACATATTATGAGTAATTTATTATTAGTGCTTTGTTAAAAGTTTTTTGCTGGACTGGATAGCAATATGGCATTTTGGCTAATACTTGATCATGAATACTGATGTAAGCTGCTTGACTGCACATTGAAAGAGATTTGAAGTTTGGTGACTTATTTCAGATTCTTGTATATAATACTTGACGCCCTTTTTTGTTTTGTCAATTAGACAAATTAGTTTATCAGGCAAACTTAAAGATCATTAGCACACAAGTTGTTGAATGGCCTGGACAGATTGAGTGCGACTAATGTGGATACGAGTATGATGCTTTTGTCTGCTCTTATTTTCATTTGTTTATATTTTTCTGTTTCGTGTAGGTTGGATGATTTGGATTCAACAGCTTCACTGTCTCCTGCTGCCGCTGGAGTGAATAAATGCCGATTTGGTATTGAGGGGCTTAATTGTGCTAATAATAATAATAACAATTATGCAATCAACAGATCATCTAATTCTTTTAAGAAAGGTGTGATGAGAGGTTCTGAAGGACTCCGTTCTATTGGTAGATCTCTTAGATTTGGGGTTTCTCGAGCAGTGTTTCCTGAGGATTTAAAAGTCTCTGAGAAAAAGATTTTTGACCCACAAGATAAATTTCTACTACTTTGGAATAAACTATTTGTGGCATCATGTATTTTTTCGGTTTCTGTGGATCCCTTTTTCTTCTTTCTCCCAATTGTCAATCCGAAACTGAACTGTCTGGGCATAGACCGAAAGTTGGCTGTTGCAGCCACTACAGTGCGTACAGTAATAGATGTTTTTTACCTCATTCGTATGGCTCTTCAATTCCGAACTGCATATATTGCTCCGTCATCTAGAGTTTTTGGGCGGGGTGAACTTGTCATCAATCCTGCTCAGATTGCAAAGCGGTATCTGCTGGGCTATTTTATCATTGATTTCCTCTCCGTGCTGCCCTTACCACAGGTTTGGACTTCTTTCTATCACTTTTTCTTTTGTATTATCGGTACACTCTGCATTGATTTTTGCGTCATAATTATCATGCCTTAGTGTGTGCACAAAACTATAAATTAGCATTAAGGGGGCCAAAAATGTGATACTTTTTTTTTTCCTTTTCATTTTTGGGAGGGGGATTAAGATATAATAATAGAAAATCAAGAAAGTTTTACCTATAAAATGGTGTTGTCGATGAATAGCATTCCATATTTTGATTCCTCAACCACAAATTAAATCAAAACACATACTGGTTAACATTGCACAATACCTTAGAAGCCATAGCAGCCACGTTACACTTTTTTCCTTATCTGTCTAAATTATTCTTCTAAAAAGAATATTATGCTCCTGTACTGAAGTTGTCCGAGAGGGCAGCTACTGAAGTTGTCTGAGAGGGCAGCTACTGAAGTCCATGCATCCGTGCTTGATTTCAACTTGGACAGCATTGCTGGAGGTGGAGAGCAGTTGAATGCCTCTTTTTCGTCCATTACTGTTTTTGGTGATGGGTTTGCTATCTTTTTTGGTATCAAGTTATCTAGAATGGTTACAAGTGCATAGTCTTTCTTACTTTATTGCTTTAGGCTTTCAAATGAAAAGTGTGACTAGAAATAAATTAAGACAATACATCTTTTACAAGTATATACACTGAGAATGATCTGAGAGAGACCAGATTCTTCATATGGGTATACATCAGATTTCTTAAATGATATTGACCTGAGTCTTTCATACTTTTATGGGGTTGAATGCTGCTGGTGATTTTCTCTCTTTTTTATAAAATTTGATTAAGGATTTTGTCATTAGGATATTGTCTTTTATATTGTGCTACTCCCTCCATCCCCAAATATAGTTCCTCTTTGGCAAAAAACACGGGAATTAAGAAATGGGAGGAGATAGTTTATAAAGTACATAAAAAAGAGTAAAGTACGAAAAAAATGAGTGGATAACAAATGATAAGTACATGAAATAGAATAAAGTACATGCACATGGGGTGGGGTCACAAATATTTAGAGAAAATATGAGGGTATTGTAGGTAGTTTAGTGAATAAAAACAAAAAAAGTGAGAATAATTTGGTAATTTCATAGTGTAATAATAGAAAAATATGAAATGGGAACAACATTTTGGGGCACCTAAAAAGGAAAGTGGGAACTATATTTGGGGATGGAGGGAGTATTTTTTTCCTTTAAATTTTTTATTTGTATTTTATTGTGAATTGTAGCAAATAAGTTAATGGACAAACTGAAAGATAAATCTTTGAAAAGTATCTTTCATTGGTATTTTGGTACTTGTTCACTGTCTTACTGTGATGATGTGAAAATAAATATTTGTGAAGTGCATTGAATTTGGTTGATTTTCATCTGGGCCAGAAGTAAGCATGTTCTGACAAATTTTGTGTTGTTTCTTCCTTTTGATTTCCTTTTCTTTTGGGTTCCTTTGGCAGATTGTTATATGGAGGTATCTGCAGAGGCTGAAAGGTTCTGATGTATATGCTACCAAACAGGCGTTGCTTTTCATAGTCCTGATTCAATATATCCCTAGATTTGTCAGAATCATTCCCCTCTTCTCAGAATTGAAAAGGACATCAGGTGTTTTTGCTGAAACTGCATGGGCTGGTGCAGCATACTATCTGCTTCTCTACATGCTCTGTAGCCATGTAAGTAAATGCTTTACCCTAAGAGACTTTTGTTTTGGCTTTAGGTCTATGCTCTCTTATTGTTCTCGATTATTCTTTGTTGGTTAAGTAGATTGTCTGATGAGGAAAAAAGTAACTGGATTTTAACGCAAGATGATGTCCACCTTAGAGGCATGTGGCCTTTTATTGTTTTACCCTCATATGGGGCAAGGGAATTGGTTGTCATTGCAATGTTGATGTGTGACAATGGTTTTGTTTGGTTTTTTTTTTTTTTTTTTTTTTTTTTTTTTTTTTTTTTTTTTTTTTTTTAAATGCTGCCTGTAATAATATTTTTACTGGGTGTATTTTATGTGAGGCTAGTTGTTAGGGGAAGTTGGATATGCTGCAAGTTTTTCATTAATGATTCATCATTCATGGCTGAGTCTGGGAGATCTCTTATCTATTTTGGTGTCACTATAAAGAATAATGATCAACCCAAAGGTAGAAGCTAGGTAATTTGTCTGATTGGCACAGTCTTAGATAGAGAAGAGGTTATTTAGTCACTAGAGGACAAGGAATCCTCTTCTATGTAGAATTGAAGCAAAAGAAAGAATGCCAGTCTGTCATACCAGAAGCTCAGAAGTAAATCAGCGGGAGTAAGCACCTTACAACTTTTATCACTAATAAAGAGCTAGAATTACTAATACATTGTTTGGATACAAGGAAAGGGAGGGAAAATTAGAGAAGGGAAAAGGAGGGGGAAATGGAAGGAGAATTTTTCATTAATTGTTTAAGAATAAAATGTTTTCAAATTTGGAAAGATTTGGAAGGCAAATTAATTATACAATCTGATTATCACAAAAAGACAATTTTACCCTTTAATTTTCCTTCCAAAACCAAACAAATTACTCTCTCCTCTTTCTTTGTCCTCGTCCTCTGCTCACAGAAGCTAGTCAACAATGGAGGCCGAAATTATCGGACAACAATTGAAGTTCTTGAAGTCCAATCCAGATGAAGCTCCTCAAAATTTGAGTGAAAAGAATTCATGACTTTGATGATAGCTCTTAGGAAGAGACTAGATGAGTTTGTCTGAGTTGACCCCGTAGTTGAATTTCTTTTTCCCTTTCCTTCCTTTTCTCCTTTATCCCCACATAAGGGAGTTGAATTTCTTCCTCCCTCCCCTGCCCTTCTTTTCCCTCTCCGTCCTTCCTGTAATTGTATCCAAACAAGCTGTAAATGACCCAGAACATCCCATTATAGAAGATGGGTTGATGCCTTGATGGTTTCTTCTACTCTTTACTATAACATTCAGATCACTACCAGATATGCAGATGTCCAATTGTATCTTTGATTTTTAATCATCCCAAAACCAGTCTGTCACACTTGTGTTAGCCTCACTAAGAAGCATAGCACAATCAAGGCTTTACCCAAAAAGTTTACTCAAATAGTGCCTGTCACTCATAGTGAAGAAATAGATTAGGATTAAGTTTTGTACCTTTCTAGCAGATAATACAATAATCTAGAGATAAAGGCTCAAGTTGGCCACCAGTAGATAACTAAATGTGTTTAGTTCATACTGTTGCTACACAAAAGTTTTAAACTTCAAGAAAGTTGAAGAAGCATAGCACAATCTAGGCTCCATTATAAAATAAAAGTTTAAATTAGCACCAGCCACCTCACAGGAGGACTGAGTTCTGTACCCTTTTGGCAGATAATACAATAACCTAGAGGCAAAGACTCAAGTTAGCCCTTGGCCATTGCACTTGTAGGTTACTTTAAGTGTTTAGTTGTACAATTGCTACCTAAAAGTTTAAATAAGAAGAATGACTTGATGTTTATGAGATTATAACTTCTGGATGAGCTCCCCCACCCCTACTCTCTCTCTCTCTACTATGGAATTAAAATTCGGTCATTTCATTACAGAATGGTCACTCATTAATGGATTTTGGATTATCCTTTCCACAAAATCCCTTTACGTCCCCAACGAAAAAAGTTGCATTTTATTCCTCGTGTCGCCCATTATGTGACGGTGACTTGTCGTGTTATTATTTTTTTTTATCCCGTTAAATCCATTCTTTTGTCTAAATTGCCCAAAAGTGTTATAGTTAAAACATGATATTTCAAGAAATTATTTGTTAACAAAGTTTACTAATTCATATTATGATAGGTTTGATTATATTTTATTTACAATCCGTTTCTATGGCAATGCCACCAACATATTGTTTATGCCTCTTTACCATTCTTAGGCCTTGTTCGTTGCACTCAAATTATGGGGAAAAATACAAAGTCATGGGAAATTCATAAATGGGTAGTTGTTTGGTTAGCATGACAAAGTATAAATGTAGGAAGTTGAATTTCCTTGGGAAATTGGAATTCCTATAGAATATAGGAATTAAAATATCTACCTTTACCTTGGTTACTCAAGCTTCCCACATTTATTTTTTGGATGAAATTACATTCCCACAAAAATTCGAGAAAGTAGTTAAAGTTATAATACATGGAAATTTCGTAAATAACCAAACAAAACCTAGGAAGTTATTTCATGAGAAATACAATTTTTCTTATGTCAACCAAACATGATTATAAGTTTATAACTTCCCATGCATTGTAATTTCCTATGGGCATTTAAATTCCATATGCAACCAAACGAGGCCTTATTTATTACATTCGTTCCCCTTTTCTTACAAACTTTTGCCGCGTTACACAAACTAATCTAACATAATTATGGCAAGGACGGATTTAGGTTTCAAAATGAAACACCATAATCATCTACTTATGCCTATATTTCAGCAAGAACAGACAATCTCTGTCGCTCTTCAAGTCCTTAATTGATCAACCAAAAGGCTTGACCAAAACTATTCATCTTGTTTTTTTATGCATTTACGACATCTTTGTGGCAATTAACGTCATTTGATGGTTGTTTTCAATAAGTTAATAACATGTTATCATGGATGTGGACTACTTTGCTTTCACTTTGATATTTGGTGATTGTGCTATTGTTATCAATTTTATGCGTGTGTGATGGAATATACAATGACTGCAATGAATTGTTTTTTCATTTTTTTTATTTTATAATTTTGTAAATGCTCTATGAATAAACTGAAACATCTTGTACATAATGACAATAAACACATTAAATACTTTTCACCATAACTCTAAAGATTTATTATTAAACTCTGAGATTAACTGTGACATATATTGAATGGAATTATCACAGATAGTTGGGGCTTTATGGTATCTTCTAGGCATGGAGCGTAATGATTCTTGTTGGCAGAAAGTTTGTTATGATAATAAGGGAAACTGCAGCTATAATTTCCTGTATTGTGACGATCAGCAATCACAAGGCTATCAGACATGGAGCAATATAAGCGAAAAAGTTCTTTCTGCCACTTGCTCTGGGAAAGAAGATGATGACGGATTTGACTTTGGAATTTTTGGACAGGCTTTGACGTCTGGCATTTTCTCATCAAGTAGCTTTATATCTAAATACTGTTACTGCTTATGGTGGGGGCTACAAAATTTGAGGTAAATAGGGTGCAAGATGACCACAGTTTATATAGTGTTGCTACATATGTCTTTTCTTGAACTTTGTAACTGATTTCATGCTCAGATATTGTCATTACATCACCTCACACCATTCTCAAAGTATCATCCAACGCTTTTCCATCAAAATTTTCAATTAATATTCTTTAAATTCCTTCATCAACCTAATATTCTTCTGTTATTGGTTTAATTTTATTTTTTTGTCCAGATTTTACAGTATATTTTTAAGGAAAAATCTATCAATATGTCTTGTTTTCAAAATTATTTAACTTTTACCATCATCTTTCTTTGTTAAGATTCAAACTTAATTTATATTGAACCATCCAATGATCTCTATTATATTCTATTCTGTTCTGTTTATTTTTGTATTGAAATCTAATACAACCCAAGTCGTGAATTATTATACAGTTGGTGCTATAGCCACTTTTATGTCAGAAACTCCCATGCCAATAGGATTTCTGAAGGGTGGATTTCAATTTGCAGTACTTCAAATCAATTTATGTTAGCAATAAAATAATGGAGAGTATGTTCAGGTCACAGCGGCATGCTAACCTGCTATGTTGCACAACAATGAGAAACAGAAATTTTGAATTGTGGATTAGCAATATTCATGCAGTAGTAAATGTGGAAGTACAAAACCTAAATCAACATATGGATAATTTTGCTTATTAAGAGAGTATAAAAAATGGGTGTATTAAAGTTAGTTTGGTTTATTCATAGATATTTTTGAAAGGTGACCCTCTAGTGACTTGTCAAATATTGTTGAGGGGAAAAGCTTAATCACCATTCAGAGAAAATGTTGCCCCTTGATTGTTTTTTATGCTTCCAAGATTTTAAGTTACTGTGACCTCAGGAGAGTGTTTGTGCTTCACAGCTAGCCGGTGGCCAACTAAGGGTTCTGCTAGAGATATCACTGACATGTCCACAGGTGTGAGTCAAGATTTCAGGCTTGTTCATGAGCTTTTACGCGAGGCAGTTTGATATAATATTGATGGAGAGAGAATAGGTGGGTGGTGGTTGGTAATTATTTGTTGGTGATGATTGATGAGACATGGGAGTGAGAATGTCTTTCAATAATGGTTTCAGAATTGAACGGAAAAGAAGGTCTTTTAATAATGGTATCTTAAATCAACAAAGAAATAATTGGAGTTGTAAGGTGACTGCAGTAAGTAATATACTAGGACAGGTTATTGGCTAAATAATCAACTAGGCTTAATTAATGCTTTGTCAATCAATATACTAGGATAGGTTATTGGCTAAATTATCAACTAGGCTTAATTAATGCTTTGATCATTGCTTCACCTGCTTACTATGTGTGGTTACCACTATATTTATGTTTGTAAATTGTCAAGTTCTATGTACAGATCTCATAGTGTACTTAATGCTTATTGATGGACCTTTGAAGTTGGTACCAAAAATTGTTTTGCATTTTGTTCTTTGGCTTATGTGATTCAAGTTTCTTTTTCTTTTTTCCTACTTGTCATATACTTCCTCTGTTTTTTAATACTTGCAATACTTCCCTACAATGGAATTGTCACAATACTTGCAACACACTCTAATTGGAAAGTTTTTTGGTTGAAAGTTGTAATATTACCCTTTTTTAAAGCTCATGGCCCACTTAATTATACTCCTAACAATGTCTTAACCCCATTTTAAGTGTGTTAAGGAGGCCCACTTTTCTTAAATACGATGAAGAAGTGTGTACTTTTATGGCTTAACATGTCATGGTGATTTAATTTTATCTGTATATGTTTCAGTACACTAGGACAGGGACTTCAAACCAGCACCTATCCGGGAGAGGTCATATTTTCCATTGCACTGGCCATTTTTGGGCTTATCCTCTTTGCACTATTGATTGGTAATATGCAGGTAAATAACTAATATTAATAATATACAATTAAAGCTTGTTAGGAAGCTCTTGTTGCCTTGTCCCCCATGCTTATATTATCATTTAATGTTCCTCTTTCACTGTTGATTGGTAATATACAGGTAAATAACAATACTAAAAATATACAATTAAATCTTGCCAGGAAGCTCTTGTGGCCTTGTTCCTCATGCTTGTATTATTATGTAACAATGTTCTTCATTGAAAGATGATTGCCTTAGATTTTATAGCTTTATTAACTAGGATATTCATACAATTGATTACCAAATATGTCTAAGCTTGAATAAGCTGTCAAGCCTGACCCTAGTTAGAGTGGTGCCTAATTCAAAAAGTTGTTTGAGCTTTGGTTCATTCAACATCGCGTTTTTTCAACCCTTGTTTGTATAATGCTTCACTAGCTATCTTGCTTAATTATCAAGTTTATTACAGCAGAAGTTCTGTTGACTTCTTTAAAATTATCAGCTATCTATGGTAACAATAATCTGGAATTAAATGTTCTTTATAATTATAGGATCTTTATAAAAGAAAGGGAGTGTTTTTTGTCTCCAATATTTGTAGTGTTTTTCCAGATCTTAGTCTTCCTGAAAATTGTACACGTACTGATAACCCAATCTTGGAACAGGGGACACTGGATCAAATTGTAACGTGATCTGCAAATTTGTATTCTAATAATCCAGTTTGGATTTTTCTGAACTTTTAGACGAACTTTGAACTGGCCCTTTGCTGTATATAATCTATTTTAAGGCTTTCAGAGGACCTGATCCTAAGACAATTTTGAATTTGCACCAATATTTTTTGTGCAAAGAGAACGCAAAAATGTTAATAAATGGGCTTTAAACCAAAATTATCGAAACAATTTTCAATATTGACCTGAACTATACTGTGACTCGAGTGAGTACTCATATAATCTGATATTGACCTGAGATATAACAAATCACACTTGTATTATTGTTGATTTAAATGTTTTCTAGCCTAAAGTGACAACCTAAATTCAATAAACTGGTAGAAAATGGGGTTGATTAAAGACATTTGATTTTGTGCTCTTCTTGCAGACTTATCTTCAATCTCTTACCATTCGACTTGAAGAGATGAGGGTCAAAAGGCGTGATTCAGAGCAGTGGATGCATCATCGTTTGCTGCCTCAGGAACTCAGGGAACGTGTTAGACGATATGACCAATACAAATGGTTGGAAACACGTGGTGTTGATGAAGAGAGCTTGGTCACTAGTCTACCTAAGGATCTCAGGAGGGACATTAAGCGCCATTTGTGTCTTAAGCTAGTGAGAAGGGTAATTTCCTTGCCTTTTTTGGTTTTCATTCTTGCTTATTGATTTCTTACATTGTTACCTTGATACATGATTAAATTATTGGTATCTGTGATCTATGGGAACATCTGAATTGGTTGGGGTTCGAAACCTTTTGTAGACAACAATGGAGAAGGCATTTTTAATTCATCAGTTTAAACTATGAAGGATGTAATGTCCTTGGACATATAAAGTTCATAATAGCAAAATATTAAGTTTCTTAGTAGCTCATATCATTGGTGCTTCTTTCTCATGTGAATTTAATAAAATCTCTTGAAACATAGTATCACTTACTGGAGTTTCAACTAGTGCTGAAGTGACTTATTATTGCAATTTGTTTAATAGAACTCGTGCCACGCAAAATATTGTCTTATATGATGTTCTTTCTATTACCTCCGTTTCAAATTATTTGCAATGTTTAGACATTCTACTCACACTTTATATTAAATCGTTGCAATTAATTTGAAACGGAGGTAGTAGAAGAGTTTGGGTTTATGTATTTTCCTGTATTAGATTTCAGCAACTTTTAGTCTAGCTAAATGTTTCCAAGGCCCTTGAGTTTTTTGGATGCTTACAATTAGATGTATTAGAAAAAAAGGGTATGATTGAGGCCTGCCAGTTATAATGCTTGTTTAAAGTAGGAGAGTTTGAAGTACACATCTGGTATTAAATGATTTATGATCCAATTGTAAGCAAGCACAAATTAAGCACACAACTTTAATTAACTTTGACATGAACAAAAAATGATAGACCCATAATAATTATTTTTTTATTTTTTATTTTTTTAGTTTTAAAATTGTCGTTTTAGAAGAGAAAAAATATTTTGTAGAATATAATACACTTAATAATCAAAACTTTTTTTTTTCCAAGGGAAATCAAAACTTTTTTTTTTCCAAGGGAAATCAAAACTAACCTTATTTTATTTATCTATCAATTTAATTAACTAACTCATGTATTCACAATAATTTTTGAAGTTTATTTAGAGTATCATGAAAAAAATATCAACTTTACAACTTTTTTACAAATGAGTGTGAAACAGATGAGATAAATTTATTTTTTTTCAGATAAAGAAAAAAGTAGGAACTAAAAGAAATAATTACGGAGAACTAACTTAAAAGCTTCCTATGATTGAGGGAAATTGAAGGTATTAGGAGAGAAAAAAAAAATTAATAGTGGTTTTTGCTTTACTCGTAGTAATAGTTTTAGATTATATTCATGGTTCTACTGTCTTCTTTGGTGGTGAACTTCACAAATTTATTAGTTCTGTAGGTTATTTGTTGTTAAACTCGACAACTAATGCTTTTCTCATTATAAACACCAAAATGGTTTGTTGAAGGGGGTTTTTTTTTTTTTTCCCAATTGAATGACATCCATCCAATACTCTCTCATGGAATATACTTATAAAGCCTCCGACATTTCTATAGGTCCCTTTGTTTGAAAATATGGACGAGAGGTTGCTGGATGCAATCTGTGAACGTTTGAAGCCAAGTTTATACACGGAGAAAACATACATTCTTCGGGAAGGCGATCCAGTTGATGAAATGCTCTTCATTATTCGTGGTCGCCTTGAGAGTGAGACAACCGATGGTGGTCGAAGTGGATTTTTGAATCGCAGTTCATTAAAAGAGGGCGACTTTTGTGGAGATGAGCTTTTAACTTGGGCTTTGGATCCCAGATCTGGGTCTAACCTTCCATCATCTACTCGAACAGTGAGAGCCATCACAGAAGTTGAAGCCTTTGCTCTTGAAGCAGAGGAGCTCAAATTTGTAGCGAGTCAATTTAGGCGTCTTCATAGTAGACAAGTTCAACATACTTTCAGGTTCTACTCAGAGCAATGGAGAACATGGGCTGCTCGCTTTATTCAAGCTGCTTGGCGCCGATATTTGAAGAGAAAATTGATGGAGCAGCAGCGCCTCAAGGAAGAGGAAGATGCTGAAGCTTCAATGAAGAGTGGCAATGGTGGTGCCTCTTATAGCCTTGGAGCCACCTTTCTTGTATCAAGGTTTGCTGCAAATGCCCTTCGTGGGGTCCATCGTAATCGACTCTCCCGGGCTTCTAGTGTTCTGGTAAAACCACCTAAACCTCCAGAGCCTGACTTTTCTGCTGATGCAGACTAACTGCTTGTTTGTCTTGAAGGCGATTATTAAAGCAGTTACAGTAATTTTATCTATTTATATTTATTGGTGGTTCCTTGAAGGTGATTAGTTATGTATAATACACAGTACAAAATATGCATAATAACTTGTATCAGGGGGTTCAGATTTATTGTTGTACGAAGTGTTATTTATTGTTAAAAACTAAATATATTTGTATAGGTGTAGTCTATAACCATCCGAAGCTGGTTTATTTGTTCAGGTGTCGAACTTAGTTTATGTTTTGTCAAGAACAAAATCATAGTTTCTCTAATCTTATTCGGCAATGCTTCATTGAGTAGCCAAAACTTTACGACAGTTACTTCTCGGCTTATATATACGATTTTGTTACAAAAATCACGTTCATCTTCTAGTTTGTCTACAATCCTTCAAATATCTGTTTCCAGATCCTCTTTTCATATCCAGTAGACTACTCTTATAATTACAGCTTTTTGAACTTGTTGCATCGTTGCATATTAATCTCTTTCTAGATTGAATTAATGAACATATTGATCGGCAGTTGGACCTCCACAATCATCAATATATGATGCGTAAGCATTCAAGATTTCCTTTCTTGATTCGTTCTTGGAACTTTCTTGAATTTTCTTGATCATTCTTGAAGGTTCTTGGAAGTTTCTTTAATGTTTCTTTAATTAGATTTTGCTTACAAGTTTTTACCTTTCACTTGAAAGAGTTTTTCTTGGTTCAAGCATTAGGATCTTTAATCTTTTTATTAGTTTCTTTAAATTAGGAGTTAGTTAAATTCGATTCTTAATTAAGTTAGTTTAAACCGAGTGTTTCAGGCGTGGTGAGCAAGCTTGGTAAGGTTTGAAATCTTATCCAAGGGTTTGAATTCTTATCCAAGGGTTTGAAATCTTATCTAAAGGAAAATCGTGTTTTGCTAGCTTGCGGTTCAAGGCTTGCTTCCTTGTTCTCCAAGTTGGTTTAGAAGTCTAGTTTTCTTAGGATTGAATTAGGGATTTGTCCTAATCTTCCTAGGAGAGTCTAGCTTATAAATAGGCTTGTTATCACAAGAATTAAAAAGAGATTTTATTTTTGGAAAAACATAGCTTTATTGCTTGTTAATTTGGAACGTTCTTTTCCAGATTTTCTTTGTGTTTGACGAGTGAAGTTAAACATAAAAACCCTTAGATTAGGCGAGTGAAACCTGATTTAAGAGAGGTTAAATTAATTAGTGAGTGAAGCTAATTCAAACTATCCTCAAAAAACCCCTAAATCACGATATTAAGGTGAGTGAAGCCTTGAAATTAGATTTAGAACCCTTAGGCGAAAACAAACGAGTGAAGCTTGTTTAAACCTATGACTAAACGAACCAAGAAACACATCAATATACGTCACCATTAGTCCAACAAAAGCAGCATAATCATGCTCGACAACCACCAACGATGCCCTTGTTTGGTTTTTCCTATAAACGCGTCGTCTAGTCCTCGTCCACACCAACAGGCCAGTACAACTTTTGATACCTTATAAAAAGATTGCGTAGTTTCAGTCATTTAAATCATCATTATGGCATAATCTTTAGGGACGAAGAGAAAATATGTAGTACAACATGATAAATAAATCATCATTCATTGCATATAAAAACGTTTAGATGTGAATCGATAACTTCTTAATGCCATTTAAAAGTATTTTTCATATAAATTTTTGGCTAAGATAGTACGTATTATTAATTATTAATATCATAGATTCTTAGGAAAGTCAATATGACTATCAAACCGTCAATTAGTTATACAAAAAACAAGAAAAGTTATAAAATAAAATGAACCTCTTTACAAATAAAGTCAAATGAACTGACTGTCGGACTGTCAATTAGTTATATAAAAAAAAAGTAAAAATTATAAGCAAAAACATAATTATTTGCAATTCCGCAAATTTGTGTTTGCCGAGCATTACTTGAAAAGAGAAGACTTCTTAACCATTCAATCATTCATGATGATTCGTCAATACTCTACAAGAAAACCAATAAATTAGATTTCGTTAATTACATAACAATAATATTCATCAAAAGATGTGTTGCAAGAAACATAATTCTCCTAGTTTCATTGCTTGTGTTTTTTTGACTCGTAGCCAAAACCGTGTTGTGAATGCTTGGTTAATCATTTGGTCATTCCAAAAAGCTTACCATCTTCATCCCCTTTGCATAATTCAAGGAAATATACGGCCCTTTGAATCATTGAATAAAAGTTAACAATATTTTCACTTTAATCTTTTAAGTCAATGGAGCCACATACATTTTTGGCCCCTCATCAATTTAAAAGCCTTGAGATGGATGCTCATGTTCGAAGCTTGATTGCAATAGAATTCTATATGAACTCGTATTTGTGGGGTCGAGAAAATTCCTCATTTAAAACTCTAGAATAAGAAGATCTCATAAAAAGATATACAATTGTTTTATCGCAAGTGATATTTGGTGTTAGCTAACAAATAATCTCTTTAAGCAAAGACAAAGCTAACTATGTGAACTCTTTTTTTCTTATACTTTGCTAGTGATACTAACACGTCTTTTACATATAACGGAGTACATGCATTAATCTGATAGATCTTTCATGATTTTTACCAATACGTAATTTCATACTCCGTATATTAATGATCAAACTTAATATCGACATGCGTGCCAATCGTTATTTAATCCTCATCACAAGATAGTATCACTAGAGACGATTTACACGTCCATAGAAGCTAAGCTAAGTGTGAATTGAAAAAGAGTGTCGAGAATTGGATCCAATAAATTAGCTTTATTGAGAAAATAAAAATAAATACTCCCAATACAAGAACATTGAAAGAGATAGGAGGGGACAAAATAACACCAGTCGGTGACACTAAAGTTAGTCATATCTTTGGAAAAAGCTTCGGTATTTACCAATATTATACCAATCTCTACCTCTCTTTTCAATTATCATTATTCAATAGACACTTATTTTTGCATCTTAAAGCTGGCCAAGCCAACCATAAAGTTTTCAAAAGAGATTCTTAATTTCAATAAAGTTGCATTTTACTATTTCCTATTTTAAATATATATATATATATATATATACTTTTTTCATTACTTAATATTGATCTTCATTCGTTACATACAAGTACCTTTTTTTTGGGAGGTTTATCTATTTGATCAGAGGTTTATAATTTATAAGACGTTACTATATGTACCAATGTAAAAATAACTAAATAAGATAAACTCTCCTCATCTCTCAAAATAATAATCTAATTAATTTAATTTACTATCGTATAATTTTTAAACTAGTAATGAATTTTTATGATTGATCGTATCATTATACAACAATAATGTCGAAAAAAGGTGTGTATGCGGAAGAATTTTTAATTTACATACCATTTCAATCTTCAATACGAAAGTATATAATTTCTCATAAATAATAGATCTTTTTGTATTCAATTTAAGATATTTTACCCACTATTGAAGTACTTTTGTATCTATATTGATCAATGTACTACGTATATTTATTTATATTTCCCCACTATATACCAAAAAAATCTATTCATCCTACTAAGTTTCTTAATATACATATCCAACGCGAACAAAAAATTGATTTGAGGCAAATTGAGTATAGTTAGTCCTCATTAGCAATATAATTGATTAAACTGAAATAACACAAGCAACAAACAAAGTTATCATAATGCTACATACTCTGTATAAATTTAGGGAAAATTCAAGTTGATTTCTGAGATAAATCTGTAAATATATCTCCTTTCATAATATATTGTTTTCCTTTTATTTTTTAAATAGTAAAAATAAAATAATAAAGTGACACAAAAATTAATGCATAAAGTTATAAAAGGAGTTAAACTAAAACGTTAATATCAGAGATTAACCTGGGCTCCCTCATAAATTTATATAACGAAAGCAAAAGTTAAAAAGAAAAAAAATGGACTCTCTTTGATTCAGGTACTTGCACATGAAGTTAACTTAAATCTAATTATATTGTCATTTCTCTTAAAAATTGTCATTTTATTAAACCTTCTCTTCTAATTTTTTTTATTCGTTTCTTTTGCTTAGCTTTCATAATTATTTCTCCACTATAAAACTCGCTTCCTCACAATACCACCTTTCCTCTTTTTTTCTTCTTCTTCTTCTTCTTCTTCTTCTTCTTCTTCTTCTTCTTCAATTCCACCTTAATTATCTTGCTAATTAACCACATTTTTTCCTCTTAATATTCACAATTTCAACCTAAAATTATCAAAAATTACTTGCTTCATTTTCATACATCCCTTTCTTTTATTTTCTCCTTTTTATTACTTTGTTCTCCCGTTTCTCTAAGATTCATATTACTTGCTTTTGTTCCCCTCCATTATTACTTTCCCAAATATTATAAATTTTTGTTCAGTTTCCAATCTATTACATCAATGCATTAGTCCAAATTACATAATATTTTCTTCCTTGCCATGCAATAAAATTACACCCTACCAAAAAAAGTTATGGCAACAGTGAGAAAACTAATAGTAGAAATAGTAGACGCAAGAAACCTTCTACCAAAAGACGGTCATGGAACGTCTAGTCCCTACGTCGTCGTCGACTTCTACGGCCAACGAAAGCGTACGAAAACAGTCGTCAAGGACCTCAACCCGAGTTGGAATGAGGCCCTTGAGTTCAACATGGGTGGACCTTCCACCGTGTTTGGAGACACCCTTGAGATCGACGTCTACCACGACAAGAATCATGGCCCTACTCGTAGGCATAACCATTTGGGTCGGGTTAGATTCAGCTCAAGCTCGACTCAGTTCGTTAGGAAAGGTGAGGAGGCATTGATGTATTTTCCTCTAGAGAAGAAGTATCTTTTTAGTTGGATACAAGGTGAGATTGGTTTAAAGATTTATTACTCGGACGAAGCGTCATCACCTCCACCACCATCACCAACACCAACTCCTCCTCCGGTGTCGGAGAGTCCCGCACCGGTGGAAGCTTCTCCTGTAGAGGAGAAGAAAGAAGAGGAGCCACCTGCTGACACGTCAGCAGCTCCGGAATTGGGTGGTGACGTGTCAGCTAAGCAACCTGATGAGGGACCACCATTACCTCCTGCAGAGGAGAAAAAAGCTGAGGATAAAAAAGAGGAGGATGAATTACCACCATTACCTCCGGTAGAACCATTGTCATCGCCAACGAGGGACCCACCACCAGAGATTGAAGTAATGGCGTCGACGGTTTCCAATATGATACCAGAAGTTAAAGTTGCCGAAGACACCGGGATGAAACCGCCGCCATCAATGCCACCGACGCCGGCAATCTCGAGAACGGTGTCGACGGCTTCGTTCGAGAGTATTCCGATCGAACGGTCGACATTTGATCTAGTGGAGAAGATGCATTATCTTTTTGTACGTGTTGTTAAGGCAAGATCACTTCCTACTAATGGCTGTCCAGTAGTGAAGATTGTGGTTTCAAGCAACCGTGTAGTTTCCAAGCCAGCTAGGAAAACTAACTTCTTCGAGTGGGACCAGACGTTCGCTTTTGGGCGCGACTCGCCGGAGTCTTCTGCCATTTTAGAGGTCTCGGTGTGGGACCCACCGAATCCAGGTACGGCGGATCCTACCGAGGGGTTGTCAATGAGGGTGTTCTTAGGAGGGATATGTTTTGATACGACGGAGATTCCGCTGCGGGACCCACCGGATAGTCCGTTGGCCCCGCAGTGGTACCGTCTCGAGGGAGGTGGGGCCAACATGGGTGACTTAATGCTCGCGACGTGGGTAGGTACTCAGGCGGATGAGTCGTTTCCTGAGGCTTGGAAGACTGATACTGCTGGGAATGTGAATTCAAGGGCTAAAGTATACTTGTCTCCAAAGTTGTGGTACTTAAGAGCAACTATTTTGGATGCTCAAGATATCTTGTTTGCACCTAAAGAGTCCATGTTTCAAGTTAAGGCTCAACTTGGGATCCAAATTTTGAAAACGAAGCCGGCGGTTAGCCGTAATGGCTCGCCAGCTTGGAATGAGGACTTGATGTTTGTCGCGGCCGAGCCGTTTGGGGATCAATTGGTCTTAACATTGGAATATCGTGCACCAAAGGGGTCGATTGTTGTTGGGGTTGTTCGAGTGGCTTTGACTACGATTGAGAGGCGGGTGGATGATCGAAATGTGGTGGGTAAGTGGTTCACATTTGATGATCCTAGCGGCGATGAGAAAAAAGCGTATAAAGCAAGAGTTCAATTGAGGTTGTGTTTTGATGGTGGGTATCATGTGATGGAGGAGGCTGCTCATATGTCTAGCGATTACCGCCCTACGGCGAGGCAATTGTGGAAGCCTGCCGTAGGGATGGTAGAGCTTGGGATCATTGGGTGTACGAATCTTCTCCCGGCGAAGGCAGTGAATGGTAAAGGGTCTATTGATGCTTATGCTATAGCTAAGTACGGTCCTAAGTGGGTTCGTACTCGTACCGTGTCTGATTGTTTGGATCCAAAGTGGAATGAGCAGTACACATGGAAAGTCTATGACCCTTGTACGGTACTAACCATCGGAGTGTTTGATAGTTCAGGTGGTTTCGAAAGTGATGAACATTTAGATGTTACACTTCCGGACTCACGAGTTGGGAAGGTTCGTATACGTATCTCCACCCTACATACCGGAAAAGTGTACCGAAATTCATACCCCTTACTTACATTAACACCAATGGGGTTAAAGAAAATGGGTGACATAGAGTTGGCTGTAAGATTTGTAAGAAGCACGCCTAATCTAGATGTGTTACAAGTCTACTCTCAACCATTATTACCTCTAATGCACCACATCAAGCCTCTTGCCCCAGGGCAACAAGAGATGTTAAGAATCGCGGCTGTTAAGATCTTAGCCGTGCATCTATCACGATCTGAGCCACCCCTTCGACAAGAAGTGGTTCGGTATATGCTAGATGCAGACTCCCACACTTTTAGTATGAGAAAAGTTCGAGCCAATTGGTTTAGAATTATTAACTTGGTTGCTGGAGTAATTGATGTTGTCAAATGGATTGAAGATACAAGAACATGGAAAAACCCAACATCTACTGTACTTGTGCACGCGTTACTAGTAATGCTAGTTTGGTTCCCTGACCTCATTATTCCTACATTGGCATTCTATGTCTTTGTAATTGGTGCATGGAACTATAGGTTCCGGTCCCGTGACCCTCTCCCCCATTTCGATCCTAAGATCTCATTGGCCGAAAACATTGATCGTGATGAGCTCGATGAGGAATTCGACATAATGCCAAGCAATAGACCATCGGAGGTTGTTCGTGCACGATACGATAAGCTCCGTACACTAGGTGCACGAGTCCAAACCGTATTGGGTGATTTAGCCACACAAGGGGAACGTATACAAGCACTTGTGACATGGCGCGACCCTCGGGCCACGGGTATATTTGTTGGGTTGTGCTTTGTGGTGGCAATTATATTGTACTTGGTTCCATCAAAGATGGTAGCAATGGCTTCAGGATTCTACTACCTACGCCATCCAATGTTTAGAGATCGCGCTCCTTCGCCGGCCATCAATTTCATTAGGAGGTTGCCCTCAAAAACTGATCGATTATTGTAGTTTACTAGTGAATACATAAACTAAAATTTGTAATCTATGTTGTATAAGTGTAATTTACTTCCTATGTGCATGTTTTAACTTATTGACCTTGTGATTTCAGTTTTTTGATAATTAATTGCAACTACAAATAATTAAATTCCTCTTAATAGACTCCATATTTGTTTCTTTCAACAAAATAAGGCATATAGTCATAAAATTAGTGCTTTAAATTCATACGATTTAATTTGTTTTTGTCTTTCAAATCATTCAATTGCTTGTGTTCAATGAACTGTATTTCTCTATGCTACATTTTTTACTTAAAAAAAAATGCGAATTGCTTAATAAGGAGTAAAATGAAATGGTTAAATTATCATCGACTTTTATTTTAATACTAGGTTAGTTCCCGTGCCACGTACGATAATTTTCAAATTTTTATTTGTGTTTAACAATAATTTGTATCTATCTTTAGTATGACACTGCACAATAATTTGTATTTAATTATAAAATTAAATATTGCCAAAAATAAGAAAAACATTGGACAAAATTTGACTGAAATATATATATTTTTTTGAAGGATCGACTGAAATATATTTATTTTCTTATTATTTCTAATACTTATTAAAATGAAACATGAAATATCATACGAAGTACGGTTAAATGTTGTATTAGAGTAAAAATAAAATGAAAACAATTGTGGCTAACAAAGTTGTATATTGTGATTTTTTTTGTAGCCTAAATTATCTATATCAAATTTGGCAAATGAATATGTCATATTGTCATATAAGTCAATTATTAGAATAATATTTGAAATTTTGATAGTGCAAAAAATATAGAATATTTTTGTGATATTTATTATTAGATATCTTATAGTATAAAATGATATATAAAGATACTTAAAATATTAAGTAATATACGCATTTTCCATAAAAAAAAAATGAATATTGTTTTCGTTTATGGAACTTAAAATCAAGCTACAACATTCCTTTTGGATTTGATACTAATTAAATGTAATCTTTTTATTGGAGATTTTGGAGATGTTATATACAAGGATATAGATAAATAAATAAGATTTAATTTGGTAATAAAAGGAGAAAAAAAAAAATTGAAGGGAAAAGTTTTCACCAGAGTATGACAAGTGTTAAATGTCAATATTCGCTTTTAGTATATGTATATTGATCCTACATTAAGTTTCATGAATCATTTAGTGATATGAATTAACTTTTATTTTAATATCCTATGTTAAGCCTGCGTCGCACCGTTAGCGAGATGGAAGGTTAGACCACATTTTACAAGTCCACAAGATGCTACATCCATGAATCATTTAGTGATATGAGTGACTCCTAAGATTAGGACGATAACGTGCGATTTACCTTAAAAAAATATAGTGTAGGTCCTGTTAATCAATTTATAATACAAATTAAACTAAATACAAAGAAAAATTAGAAATTAAAATATGACGAGATTAAACTCTGTTCTTTGTATAATAGTAGCCCCATATGCATTATGTTGGAAAATGATCTATTCTCTATGGACATATTTTTGTGTGAAACATTGAGTGCGAAAATGGAAAAACTAATAAAGTGAAGGATTAATACCGTTTTTTAATCCCAACTTTCACCAATTTATTTTTATTAATCCCAACTTTGGATTATTCCTCAATAATCTCAACTTCGAGGTGGGTTATCATTCTTCATACCCAAACCGGTAAACAAAAGTCAACAACCTTCTATTGTAGGTTGCTGGACACGTGTCGCCACGTGAGTGGTCCTTAACAGCCCCTCCATTAATGGCAGCCAGCCAGCCACCATCCCCTCCATTTCAGGCGTGTTTGTGGGGTTTTTTCGCCATGGTTACCATCCCAGTCCCTGCGCACCATGGCCACCATCCAAGTCCCCTGCTCCCAGCATCAAATTGCAGCGGCAAGCGCAGCCACATCAACCCCTCACATTGCAGCAACCTTCACCACCATCGCCACCAATTCGCATATCACAGCCACCCTCACTGCTGCAACAACCACGCCACCATAGCCCAGCTCTGCTTCTCACTGCAACAACAACAACCACAACCACGCCACCGTAACCAGGATTGCGTCGTGGTGTTCGCTAGTGGGGGATTGAGCGTGTAGTGTCGGCGAGGAGGGGTTGTTCACCGGAGAGGTTGCGTGTGGTGGTTAAGGGGAAGGGGAGGGGTGCTGCGGTGGGGTGATGGTGAGGGGAGGTAGGTTGATTGGTGGTGGTTGCCATGGCAGCTAATAGCCATGGATGAACAACAAAGGGGAGGAGAGAGAAAATGGGTCTTTTTTTTTAATTTTATCTTAATTAATTTATTTTTATTTTGATAAACCAATTAGCATGCAACACGTGTTAAATAAATGGTTTTAAATTTTTTTTAACCCTTTCTTCAAGTAACCGGTAATCCGGACCAAAGAATGAAAACACACCCTAAAATTGGGATTATTGCAGAATAATTGAAAGTTGAGATTATTTAAAATAAATTGGACAAAGTTGGAATTAAAAAATGGTATTAATCCTAAAATAAACTCTTGCCAATTAAACGTACATATATAGATTGACATGGTAGTTATTAATTTGAAAATAACATATGTGTGTGCCACGTGACTAAGTGCTAAGTCTAACTAAAACACTAGCATAGCCATGACCAAGCCCATATATTATAGGCCCAAAACATTTTAATTGCACATAGCACATACAAGTTAATAAACACATCAAAAGTCATCATTTTCTTTTCATGTGAGAGAATTTTCCTTCTTTTTTTTTTTTTTTTTTTTTTTTTTTTTTTTTCTTTTTCAGAACAGAATTTTCCGACTCTTAAATCCACACCATTGAAGACTACTCATAACAAGTCCAATAAGTTCAAATAATTTCTAATAAAGTTTGATATGTATTTTAATAAGATTCAATATATTTTGTATTATTTTATTTATAGATGTGTTGCGCACCTAATAAAAATATTACTCTCTCCGTTTTTAAATATTTGCTTCATTTCTCTATGCGCGGAGTTTTAGGAGAAATTAGATAAAGTAATAAAATATGGAGGTAATGGGGTTGGTGGAAGAATAAAATTTTGTAAAAAACAAAAGTAGGTGAGAGAATTGGAGGTGAGAGAATGTGAAAGTAATAAAATATGATTTATGTTGGGTGGTACTAGTTGAGAGAAATGAATTAAATATTGTAAAAGCTTTCCAAATAAGGAAATGGAGCAAGTATTTAAAAACGGCCGGAAATGAAAGCGGAGCAAGTATTTAATAATGGAGGGAGTACTTAATAAGACCAACTACTATGTAGTCAGGCAAATAAGGGTCGGGGTCGAAGCCCAAGACATTAACTGATTCAAAGTAATTAAATTGACTTGAATTTAAGCTAAGAAAATAATCAAACAAATATATGAAATTATACAAATCGAAATTCTGGCAACGAATTAATTAGGAATAAATCAATAACTAAAGACATCTAGGAATAAGTATCCCCACTAATACGACTCAACACACTAAAACAATCCCTTTCTCATAATTAAATCAATAAATACTGATGCTCCTTATATAATATTACCAAGAGTTTCTTTCGATCAGCAAGTGACTTCCCTATGCAATCATACCTATTTTCAGGAATCATACTATTAAAGACATTGATAACAACAATACAACGTCATATAAGTCATAGCAAGAACAATTAGCTATTTTCATGCGTAAAAACTCTTAATTTTAATTAGGGCTCTAAAATTAATTAAAAATCAACTTTCGTTACAAACCTAATCACACTCAATAACACTATTTCTAGTTGTTTATTGATAATAAAACCAACTCTAACAAATTAAGAAGAATTATGAATTAATAAAAATGGGAATTAGGAATCAAAATAGCACATCAAAAAGCTAAAGATGGCCACAAGTGGGTTGGCGGGGAGTACGTAATCTGCCACAGGCAAATTGTACCATGCCTTTTCTTGCATGCGAAACATCTCCGTTAGCTAGAAGAATTAACCCGCAATCAAACCGATAATCGAGCAAATCAAGCCCTATTCATATAAAAATAAAAACAAACATACTAAGGAGAGTAATATCGAAATATGAAAAATAATAGCTATAATATAGTAAGAGAATGAAAAAAAAACACTATCAAATATGATCACATATAACATACGTGTATAATATCATGTTATCATCTATAGTGGTCATTTACTCTTTTGCATAATATCGTGTTATTGTCTTTGACATGTATGAATATTTGGGAGAATATTATTTTGGAAAAATTAGAAATAATAATCCCAATTTTCATGAATTTTGCTAGAATAATCCCAATTTTGGATTATTCTAGAATAATCCGAACTTTGGGGGTTCTTCTTTTTCTTTAATCCCAATTACCGGTTACCTGTTGAAAAGGTTAATTTCTTCTTCTTCTTTTTTTTAATAAATGCCACGTGTCAACAGCTAATTAGCCAAAAAAAATTAAAAAAAAATCAAAAATACAGCCCCATTGCCCACCGAAACCCCAACCACCACAATCCCCTCCTGCATCGGAAAACCCACAACCCTCCTCCTGCCGTCCAGTCGCCCCTACTCCTGAAAAACCCCAGCCGTCCTTTGTAATACCCTAGAAATTTCCTTCTTTTAAAATACTCTTTTTACTCTAAATAAAACCCTTTTTAGAAAATAACCAAAATATTAACCCCACCGTGATAACGGCTAAGGCTATTTTTCAAAGTCACACGGCGAAAGTCTAAAATATAAATCGACTTTTCAAAATAAGACTTGAGTTCACAACCTCAAAACAAAAGTAAAACTAAATCGTTCACAAGTTGGAACCAATTCAAACATGCCCCTTTTTAAAACCAACTTAAAAATAAACATAGCAATGTTAGTCCATAATCAATAAATCAATAATCCAAAATATGTAACTAAGAAAGCATAACAAGTAACTCTCTGCACTCATTCCCTTCATATTTTTCATGCTCAAGTACTTGTCACTTTCTCTTTATTTTAACTCTCTACTCACCATATAAATGGGTCATTCTAGGGCCAATCCAAAGGAAAGCCAAACACAACACAAAAGTACGAATCAGCAAAAGCTGAGTACATATGCACCACACTAACATGAATATCTTAGCATCGATAAAAAAAAATAAAACATGCTCGCTATACAATTC